GCAAAATATATGACCGTCGTAGCCCAGCTCAGCTTGGTGTACAAGACGTCCTCGGGGGCGTATTCGTGGGTATCAGTCACGACGGTGGCCGTCTCAGGGCCCGTAGGATTGCCGGTGATTGCTGGGAGAAGTGTTAATCTTCATGTTGCTCAGGAGTTGTGGTGATGGATGGTTTGGAGGACAAGGGGAGGGTTTTCCAAACCACATATAGCCAGAATGTCCGTCGCAATCATGGCAATCAGCGACACCACGATGAGCCAGTCGTCCCATTGCAACTTGGCTTTCCTGGAATGGCGCGCGTAAAAGCGCGCGACGACGGCCACGATTGCCAGCACGGCCATGACGGCTCCCACGCTTAGATTTACAATTTCATCCATTGTAGGCGGATATCTTGGGGACCGTGTCTTGCGAGGCAACTCGTGGGCTTGACGAGGACATATCATCCACAAACTCATCAGAGGAATAGTCTACTGCAGCCAGTCAACTGCTGGCTCTGAGTCTCATCTATAACTGGTCTTACAAGCGCCGCATCCCCCCATTACAGATGACACCAACCAGGGGAATCGCTGCGCCCCCAAAAACTACTCACTGAGACCTGGCGACAGAAAAGAACATCAATGATATGGTGTGCCTTCCAGAACCTCGTACAATCTAATCAAGGCTCAAGTCAAGGTACGGAGTACATCCCTGCCGCCGGGAGGCGCATCCAAAAGTAGCTGTAAAACGCCACACCTTCAAATCGCCATCAGCAACATCTATAGCAAATTTCTCTCCCTTGTAAGAATTTAGTTCACCCTCAAATAGACACGACTAGAACAGCAAATCACTCAAAAAACCTGTTTCATCCGGTGTTACCTCTACCACACTCTATGCGCAGCCTGCTTCACATCTCCTGCACGTCAATCTGGGAGCTTTGTACGGAGTATACGGGCGCAAATTGCAATCCTCACCGAACCCACAACTCTGCAGGCTACCGCACATGGCTAGTTGCTGACCGCTCGCCAAGAAGCTTATCCAGGTCTCGGGGAGCGTGGTTTCCAACGAATAAAAGGCCATAGGTTGAAGCGTCGATCCATCGCCCTGGTCTTGGTATACATGAATGCTACGCTGACTGCCTGCCAGCACCTGAGTCTCGCTGAAACAAACGTCGAAAGCACTCTTGCGGATGGGAGCCTATAAGTGTACATTCCTGTGCTGACAGCCCCCACTGTCCATGTTGTTTCTTTGGAGGAGTGAATGCCCAGGCCTCTGGATGCTTTTGCCTGTAGTCGATGCCACGGGCGGGAGGTTCAGCTCCTGCTTTCGAGGCAGATTCAGAAAGTTGATGTAAGAGATCAGCGGAGGGGCGATTTCGAAAATACATGGGTAGTGGTTTGGGTCGAGATGGTGAGAGTTGCATCGCGCGTGTGATGGTTCCTTCAGGATGCTATTGCAGAGAAGACTTACACATGTATCGATGGGCCTCGTTGACATGCTAGCTTCCATGACTGCAGGGTCTGAGGCTGACTGGACGACGTCGAACAAGTTGGTGCCCGGTGGTGGCTGCTCGGTTCACGAGTTGAGATCCTCTTGGAGTAAATTGGGACAGCATGCAATTCACACATTCATGTCGCCAATCTATGGCATATTCCTCGAGCCCATATTCCTCGTCTAGAACACGTCTCATGTCAAACTGACATAATGCTATAGGGTAGGGATGGGTATCAGGTTCGCTTGTCACTTGAGAAGGAAGCACTTATCTAAACGGGAATTTGAAGGATCATGCACGGAATAGAAAACGTTCCAAATTACAGTGAAATATCAAGATTAAATCGTCATCTAAATAAGTGCAAAGCGTTCTCCATCTGAATGAATATCTAGAGCCCTACCGACCACATACACAAGCCTCATCTATTCAGCCCAAAAAACCCCGTCACTCCTCCACACGACCAACCTCACGAAACGTCAAATAAGGCCCGTCATGCACCGCAGAAAACATGTCACGAATATGAAACTCGTCCCCATTCCGACCCTGCTGCACTTCACACCCCAGCGACTCCTCGAAATCAAAGTGCCACAACGTCTTGGCCACAACAAGACTGGTCCCCAAGTAAGCGATACCCTTACCCAAGCACCCACGCGCGCCCAGCGAAAACGGCGCAAACGCCTCCCTATCCGCCTGCCCAGCCGCCGCGTCCAGCCAGCGCTCAGGCCTAAAAACAAACGGCTCAGGAAAGTACTCTTCGTTATGAAGCAAAGAGTACGTGTTGACACCGACATGCACCCCCCGCGGAATCACATGGCCGTCCACAACGAGCTTCCTCGCCTCGGCCCCGGGCCCAGACACCTCTTCCCGCCAGAGCGTGCCCGGAATCGCCGGCGACATGCGGAGCGTCTCGTCCAGGCACGCACGCAAGTAGACGCAGCTCGCGAGCGCCGCGCCGCTCCGGATATCCCCGTCTGCGGCGAACGCGGAGCGAATCTCGCGCCGGAGTCGCCCGTAGCACCGCGGGTTGCGGGCCAGGTAGAAGAATAAAGCGCTGAGCGTAGTCGACGTCGTGTCGCTGCCTGTATTCGTGTGAGAAAGGAACATGCGAATAAATGGCAAAACACTGACCGGCGAGCATGTGCCACACCGCTTCGGTCTGCACGTCACACACCCACTCCTTGTCGTCGTGGGGAATGGCCGATTTGGCAGACATGTAAAGAAGTTCCTGCTTGACGTGCGGGCCCTGCGCGAGACGGGCGAGGATGATCTTCTGCAGCGTCCGGAGGTAGCGCTTCCTGCTGATGACGGACCAGAGCGACTGTAGGGCCCATAGGCGCAGGGCCGCCAAGGACGGGAGCTGCATGCCGATGTTGAAGAAGAAGTTGGCCCGGGAGTATGACAGGACCCGGTGCGTCGGTTCGGTTTGCAGGTTGAGGGGGTATTTGAACAGGAGGTGGCCCATGACATCGACAAACAGATACTTGGTCTGGCTGGTCATGTTGACTGGGCTGCCGTCTGGACCGCAGTGCCTTTGTAGTTGTTGTATGAAGATGTCGATTTGCTGAATGAGGACGGGCTCGAATGCCTGAAGGGATTTCGGGGCCAGAGCCCGCCCGACGAGTTTGCGCTTTTTTTGGTGTAGGGATGGGTCGATGGCGTTGAAGAGGCCGTAGACGCCGGGTGCTCGCTGGGATATCAGGTACGCCCTGGATTTGGTGACGTTGTTGTTTTGGTAGATATCTGAGGTGTTGGTATTTCAGAAATTACATGTCCCGGGTTCAATGTGTTGGCGTGGTCAACTTACCTCGCAAAGCTTTGACTGAGCTAAAGACCAGTTTGTTAGGTCCATGCCTCACTACCGGGCCTAGAATTCATAGCCGTTAATACAACTTGCTGCTTCATCTTTTGGGCATGAAAAGAACCCACCATATCTGGCGTGGTCATCGAGCGTTCTCTCGTGAAGAACCGTATGGAAGGCATAGAAAGCGCCGTACAAATCGGAGAGCTTGGCTGTGAATGGCCCCGGATATTTACTCAGCGGATGGAGTAGAAGCCGGTAGAGAGCGAGGGACACAACCTTGTTTCAGTGTCAAAAGATTTACGCAATGGTAAGAGATATTATGATGTATACATACATATACGACGCCGAGGCCAGTGGCGTACACGGCGATCCTTAGGAGAGTTGCTTCCGGATACATGGTAACTCGTTTTTATCAAGTAAAAGACCGTAAAAGACGAAGGGAAAGCTGAACACGGGGAATGGTATAGAGTCATGGCAAAATAAATCACGTAAAAGGGCAGACATGTTTTCCGTGGAAACAGACTTCTTATCTCTTCCAAATACGTGATGTGTATACTGGCCAAACCACAGCGAATACACTCCCCACCATAGAATAATGGAAGCTCCCAGGCTCAGGATTGCCGGATAGTGCCTGGAACAGCCACAAATAGCAACATCAACGAGACGCGCAAGAAACACTCGTTTGCAGAGGAATCAGGAGCCTGGTTCAACAGCCTTCTCATCTTGCCATGTGCAGTGAGAACAATAACCCGATGATGGCCTCGGACGCCCAGGTCTTGTTGGCAGGCGGATCTAGCCCCCACTGAATAACCTCCTCCCCCTTGCATCACCAGCATGGGGCCCCGTGGTTTCACAGCGGAGATCTGACATGGACTGTGACCGCAATCGTAGTACAGAGTATTCCGTGCGCGTGGCGGGCCCTGCCGTACGACGGCGCCTACCACGCGACGATCGTCCTATGATCAAAGTATCCACGAAGCCATTTCGACAGTCCGATATAAGAGAGTTGGGGGCCAGGCAGAGTGTCCCAACCTACCAGCCCCTTAAACCCCTTAAGCGCCACCATCTGCACATCCTACCCAAAACATTTTCCCTGCCGTCTGACCAATCTGACAAGTCTGACAGTGCAAAAGTATCGCGAAAAACGACATCAATATGAACTGAGGTATTTGTTTTGCTGCCAATGCTGACCATATGAGCATGCTCGTATCGTGCGGGTACGGGGTAGTAGGCGTGGAGATTGCGGCCGGCTGATGCTTACATGCATACATGTACAACCAGTTGACACCCCAGTACCTTGGGCAGCAGCGACTGGCCTCGTGTTGTAGTACAAAAGTGCCAGTATTCAGGCAACCTGTAAGATTTGTTCCACAGCATGAACCATGGCGGCTGACCACCTGCCTAGGCATTCTAGTAGTGTCAAGGATTCTTTGCAACATACAAGGCTGCAGTGCTCAGTTGCCTTGAACAGACTGCCTCGCCAGAACCGTGTTGAAGGGGTGATGAATATCTCGGGGAAACTTTGTAGGGCTTTGTATGGTAGGGTCCACGTCTCGGTCAAGTGCATTTGACGACACGCAGAAAGGCACAGGGGAATTGGCTCGGGTGATGATAGCAAACGTCGTTATATCGGTAATACGGGTGATTATTATGGGACTAGAGCCTCATTCAATCTTTGACGGAACGAGTAACACAAACAAAGGGGAAAACGACCAAACGGTTGAGCCAGTCCTAAGCTGGACCCTTGTCTTCCTTCATGCCCGTGCTGCCAAATTGGCGGCCCCATTTGCGCACCTTGTTGTCCATATCCCCACGGACGACTGTCATGATGATAAAAACCAGTCCTGAGAGAATCCAGTCTCCGAGTCCCCTAACAAATCCACCTCTGATGCTACCTCCCAGCATGCTTCGTTTGACCAACCCCGTCTGAAAGTCGGTTGTGATGAGCTCCTGTCCACTCTCTAATCCCTTGATACTCCTCGATGCAATAACTTCGGGTGTTTGTGGCTCATCCCCTTCTTCAAGCATTTTGGTTAAATCAGATTTAATGCGATTCTCAGCTTCAAAACCTTCTGTAAGGATACCCGCAGGAAAGATTGTGTGCAGGCGGACCCTCGGCTCGTTTGGATAGGCGGCACTGTACAAGTTCATCTCTTGGGAAAGGGAGTCTGCAAGAGACCGTAGCGCGGCCTTGGTGGGACTATAAGGGGAATAGCCAGCAATGCCATAGAAAGCCAAGAAGGATGCGGTGAAGATGATGTGGCGTTGGAGGGTAGAGTTTGGTCGAGACTCGGGTTTATCGGAAGAGCCAGGCAGGTTCGAGGTCAAGCTCTTGCGCGATGACTTCAACCAGCATTGCAGGATGGCGTGTGACATGTATAGGCTGGTAAAGTAGTTGTTTTGCATCTGCGTGGAGAACTCGGTCACTGGAGTGTCGACGAACAGGGTCGGGTGCGAAGTACCGGCGCAGCACCACACCTGCAATTCTAAGAATTAGCATTTGCCAGATCGAGAGGAAAACCTATCCGTCCAGGCAGAAAGTGCATCAAGTCAAGCAAAATGCTCAGAATGGGGAGGGGGGAAGGTGCAGAACTTGCTCACAATGTCGGGTGGATTGCCAGAGTTCCACGACACCACCTCGTCCACAACGCGGACAGCTTCAGAGGGGATGGTGAGGTCGGCACTGATTTGATGGAAAAGCTGAGTTTCGCGGTTTAAAGCTTCTTTCTATTGTGCTGTTGAATCAGCTTCACATCCCATCAACCATAAACACGAAGGGGACGAGTGGAAGGCTTACCTTGACAGTGTCGAGGCCTTGAAGAAGCTTGGCTTGGTCGCGCGCAACAATAACAACGTTGGCACCCTTTGCAGCGAGCTGGCGTGCGACGGCCAGTCCCAAACCACTCGAACCGCCAGGCGACCCGCCAGTGATTATGGCTGTCTAATGAAATCAGCGAACCGTGATTGATGCCAGGACAGCAGCCGATTCCTCACCCTCCCCTGGACCTGAAAGGCATTTGTTGATGGCATAGTTGCGGCGTACTCCTCAAGTGGTAGAGTCGATGGTGGTGGATGCAGCAGCTTGCAGCTTGCCGGGATCAGGAGCTTATGCTTGGTGAACAGTAACAACGTTCGGTCTTGACAGAAGCTGTTGGGAATCGATGGACTGTTGCTCAGTGCATGCGGTTCGCAGTTGGAGAAAATTGATCGAGGCAAAAACAACAGGCGCCCGTTGACCAAGTGGTAGTAAATGCATGTCGAGGAGATTTGGGAGTTGGGCGGGAAGGGAAGAGAGGAGAGAAATGAAACGACGCGGGGGGGTTCCGGAGCTGCAGAGTTACTGCAGAGCCCCAAAAGCTGTCCAACTTGTGTTGCGACGTGTTGGTTGTGTTGTCTGGTTGTGCTGTGTTCAATCAATATTACTTGGTGCAGCCCCATGTCGCCCAGTCTGTACTGAAATACATCTAGACCGGGGTGAGATGGCAGGTGCCTGGCAGGGGCCAAGATCCGCATTAACCTTAACCCCATATGGACTAGTCTGACAGGGACAGGTCACCGGCCCGTGCCAGTTGGGTGCCAGTTGGTCCGTACGCATCACCCCACCATTGACATCCCGTCTCATTCCAGCACCGTGCCGTGCCCTCTCCTTCTTCTGTCAAAAAAAAAAAAAAAACTGCCACATTGATGAATCAACTCTCAACTCCCCGTTTCCAGCATCCAAACATGTTGGCCCACCAACTTGGATGCGATACATACGCAGGTACCTACCTCCATAACCCCCTGTCGCAAACATGGGGGGTGATGCCTTGCTTTATGATAGGTACTCCTCGTCATTGCTGGCCACACTCGAGCTTCGTGTTTTTTTGTATTTCTCTTCGGCATAAACCTCGGCAACTAATAATAGCTTCATGCTGCCCTGCCCACTTTCAGCACAAAACGGTCACGTAAGCTCTCGCGCTGTGTACAGTATCTCACATCTCTACAAACGCATTCCGGTATGAAGAACGCGACTTATCGTCAGTTGAGCCAAGACGTCACACCAGTCACGTAGCGCTTTGCGTGCAGAGCAAATATGATTACATCATGGCAGAAACCCGCATAGTTTTGAAGGTACACCTCTATCATGAAAACCAGAAATCCGGCCCTTGAGTCTCCAATTCAGCCGTGAAGCCAATTTACACTCAAAACCCCGATACAGGAAAAGCGAAATCATGACGCAGTCAGTTCCCAGGTTTTTCCAAGGCATGCAGTGCCGCCCCCTAAAGGCCGTGTCCAATCTAACACCTCGCTTGACAAAAACATCGGTTGAGCGTGCGGCGATGGGGAGGTGACAAAAGAAGTCCTACACTACCAGCGGCTTCTTTGTCCACATGAGCAGGGAAGCGGGGACTTGCAGCGCTGCCGAGACACAAAGAGCAAGAGTCTGACGACTGTAACCCTCTGCCAGAGTGTATCGGATCTGCTCCTGAACCACCGTGGGCAGAGTGGCAAGAACAGCGACTAGGGAATCAGCACCAGCGACGCCCAATTCTTGGAGCCGTGGTCTCGCGAAGCTGTTGAAGACGGAGGTTGAGATGGCCAGAACCATTGAGCTACCAATAAATCTGAATTGCGATGCAGCCCCAAGGCCAATTGCTAATGGGAAACGATTAGCATCATTTCCCTGTCCCTCATCCCGAGATACAGAGGACCAAGGGCAAAGCTTACCGTGGTCGCGTTTCTCAATCACAAACGGAACCATCAAGAAGAGCAAGGAGAAGTTTATACCACAGCCCCATCCGGCAATGAGCTCATAGCCATAGATGCGTGCCGGTATTTCTAGCGTCGCAGGCAGTGTTCCCAGCAGACCAAACCCAAGTATCTGGAGGCAAGAACCTGACATGATGAGATACAAAGGCGGCACCTTGTACTTTCCCACCAGGCTGGATGCAAAGACCGAGCTAACCGGAATGGCTGCGGTGAACGGAATCAATCGGACACCTGCGTCGAGTCCAGACGTGCCATACACCAGCTGAAATCTCTGCGGGATGATGAACATTCCAATGACTGTAGGTCCCCCCAAGAGCAAAAAATTACTTCGATATATCTGTCAGAGTTGTGCTGGCGAAAAGGATGATGAGGTGAAGGAGTCTTACAGAAATATACCCATCATCCGGCGGTTCGTCAGCAACCTCCAAGGCAACACTGGCTCTCGCGTGCTGTTGGAAAGCGAAACATATCTCTCCCACCAAATAAGCACAATCCAAAGAAGTCCGGATACAATCAACAAGACGATGACGTATGCGGATTTCCATGGAAAGAGCTTGTCGGCCTCCTCAAAGGCAGCTGTTAGCCCCAGTACGGCCAAGAGAACGAGGACAGTTCCAGGAATATCTATACGTCCAAGTGTCTTCCTGGCGCTGTGACGCAGCGTTTTTTCGGCTGTTTGGCGTCTAACTTGACCGTGGTGTGGGAACCCACTAGGTATAGCCAAGACAGATATAACAAGTGCCGGAGCGGCTATCGGAACGCTGTCATGGCATGTGTTAGCCCGGTCCTTAACATCAAAAATGAGGTGTTTTCGGCAAATTTTTGACAAACTTGATGATAAAGATCCATCTCCACGTCGTATTAGCGGCTATGGCTCCGCCAATAATGGGCCCTACCAAAAGAGCTACAGCATTGGTTATAGAAATGTTGGCTACAACTTGCGCATACTTCTCTGGCGGAACAAGGTCAAAGACCATGATTGTGCACAGAGAAAAACAGCCTCCGCCGCCGATGCCCTGGAAGGCTCGGAACACAATGCTGCCACATGTCAGTCCAGTGGAATCTCGACCCTTATAACATTCTGTAGCAGGTCGAGTCCTTACAGCTGCGTCAGTGTCTGCGCGGCACTACAAGCGGCGGAAAAGATGATGAATGTGGCGGTGGACAGCAAGAAGATGGGCTTTCGGCCGAAAATGTCGCTGAACTTGGCAAAGATTATGATGACGGCTGTCTCCTCGGGCGTGTGAGTAATCGACATGGCGAACTGGAATCCGATTCAACGTACCGACATAGCCTAGCAGGTAGCTGGAAACCACCCAGCTTACGTCGTCAAAGCCCCCGAGGTCGCTGGTGATTGCGATCAATGCAGTAATCAGGACGGGAATCTCCATGTTGGTGATGAACATCATGATAGCGATGCTATTAACACAAAACATGTCAGTTGCGCTGCCACTTTCCTACCGGCTCAGCACTACTCACGCTGCACAGATGAACCTAAACCGAGGGCCTTGGATATACTCCACGGAGACTTCACCGCTGCGCAGCGAATCTGGATGGGAGGTGACTGGGTCATGATCCGAATTCGGGTTCAATTTGGAACCTGTAGACATATCAGAGGAGTAGCCGTTGAAGCCGACATCTGCTTCTCGTGCCATGATGGCCAGAAAGTCAAGTTGGACAGCTCTTGCAAACAAAGAATATTTCGAGGAGGAAATTACAAACGACGTTGGCTTCCAATCTGTCACGAAGGGAAAGTTGTGAGCTCCCCTGGTAAGCCAAGGATTATATCACTTCACTGAAAGCGTTGATGAGCCTCCTTCTTGCAGGATCGGCAGCGAAGGGGGGTACGAATTATGGATGGGACGGTCAGCGCTTACGGGTAGGGTTGCATCCAGTGCAACGGATTACCACCGGCATGAGATGCATGGAACACACAAGGCAGACGAGCTTGGCGGCTGATTTACCCCCTGCTCGAATGGAGCGTCTCTGAATATGCAAGCGACTTCCAAAGCGGCCCCCAAAATGTACGTTTGTACTTGCGGCAGTGACTACAGCAGTCTAACACACATGTGCCTGTCATAGGCTCGAGACACCGCCTCCCCCAAATGTTCCTTGGGCAAGGCGTCGCGGCCTGTGATGCATACCATCTTGTCATACTTGTCGTTGCATGAATAGTAGTGTGTATATTCATAGCCTCACGCTCAAACCTAGTACAGTGCGTACGAGGTGCACGAGCGGCACCTGTGATTTCGACGTCAATACACATGGATTCTCGTAGTAAGCCCCAAGTACGGCATAAGAGGCTATACTCGATAAGGATGAATCATCTTGAACGAGTAAGCCTCGCAGCGATGCGACCTGTAAAAGGGCATTCACTGCATGCTTGCACACGTGGCTAGGAAGTGGACAATGCTCGTTTCGCTGCCTAGAGGAATCAAGAAGGGTCAACGAATATGGGGCCCGTCAAAATTATCCGCAGTGCTGCTCATGGAACTGCAATGTTACCACTCATGGATGACATGTGACAGAAAGAAAGCAGGCACAGGTGCCAGTGAACAAAGGCGAGGCTCAAGCATACACATACCACGTGCCACCGCCAGCTTGTATGGGCCTCGAAGTGAACAGAGTTTTAGGGGAACAGGTAGGTTTCACATGAATGCCGCGTAAGTTGGTCTACGCAAGCACTGGCCACGAGACTGCTTGTTGGCTGTACCGTGTTCTTTCCATGCGGCGGTATTCACGGCTTTGCGTAACATGTGTTGGTCCAAAAACTTGGGCCGTACAAATCGCACAATGAAGCCTTGCAGCGGCCGCAAACAAGGAAAGATTCACAGGTAGAACTCAATATATAGCAGTTCACAGTGTCCCGACTCAGACTAGCGCCAGGCATGTTGCGTGTTCAACTTCCAACGGCCCGAGCCGTCAACGTCCCGTGCCTCTAAAAGAGAACAAAGGACATCGAAGAACAGCATTATGCCCGGGGGTTACACCAACTTGCATGCAGTGCATCGTATTACAACTACCGCTCGGGCATACTACAAGCAGTGACACAAGGTGTCGGGTGATTTTCCTGCATATGACCTGTATTTGCGCGGCGGATCATGAACGGCACCCGTAGCGATCAGAGACCGAACATGGACTGTCCTCCTCCCGGGCTGTCTCTGCGCCATCCGGCCCCACGAACTGGAGCGCTTCGTGTTCAGTCTTCACATCTTGAGTGTTCAAATGTTCTTTCCTCTTACTAACTAATTCGCTGGCATAAATAGCGACGCTCCCGCCTCTCTTGATCCTCCCTCCTCTCCATCCTTCAACATCTGTCCTTCAACGTCCAACCTTCAACATCCATCCTCACACCCAAACAAACTTCTGGGTTGGTGGATAAACACAAAATGTCGGCAAGGTAAGCATGAAGCAAGCTATCTTGTTAGACCCTTTGCGCACGGTATTTCTAACTCTTTCATCATGCAGTAGCCACCCCAGCTCTCCATCAGCTGGTGAGCATGGCTCTACGCCGAAAGGCCCAGATAAAAAACAGCGTCGCCCTTCGGCCCAAGACCTGGTGACGAAGCCCCCCGAAGCCAAGCAAAAACTGAAATGGATTGAACAGCAGCCACTTTCGGCCCAAGACCAGGCGACGAAACCCCCCAAAGCCAAACGAAATTTATGGGAATGGGTTAAACAGAAGCTCTTGCCGGACCAAGACCAGGCGGCGAACCCCCCCAAAGCCAAACGAAACTTATGGGAATGGGTTAAACAGAAGTTCCCTTCAGCCCAAGACCAGGCGATGAAGCCCCCCGAAGCCAAGCAAAAACCAGAATGGGTTGAACAGCAGTCCCCTTCAGCCCAAGACCAGGCGATGAAGCCCCCCGAAGCCAAGCAAAAACCGGAATGGATTAAACAGCAGCCACTTTCGGCCCAAGGCCAGGCGGCGAACCCCCCCAAAGCCCAGCGAAATTTACGGGAATGGGTTGAACAGCACTACCCCGAAGTCAAGGGAATACGGGAATGGGTTGAACAGTCCCTTCCCTCGACATTAATGGCGACCACGTTAGACAAATTTCTTAACGACAAGCATGGCGATCAATACTTTGTTCTGGTGTGTTTATCTTTCCCCCGTGTCCTTTTGTTTGTGGCGCCCGTCTCACCCTTATTAGATGCGATTTGATCAATACACTCTCTTTGCTCCTGTACCAATGACAGAAGCAGAAATCGATCTCTGTGAACGAGGGTATAAGTAGCGTTTTTTGTGGCGGCGAGAGATGCAAGTCTCGAGGTAAAGCAAGCGTGCTATGGATGTGAGATTCTCTACTTTCCATGTCCCTTTTTTATTCTTATCTAACCCTCGTCAGATGCTGTTCAGCAGTCTTACTTTTCAGGTGACGGGGCGACGATCAGAAGCGGCGATATGCAGATGGTGTGGATGGCTATAACACGATTTTATTTGTGGGCAAGAGATATGGCGATCTATGGGGAATAAGGTCTTGCTTGGAATATGGGTAATTAATGAAACAGGGTATTTTGTCTGCCATACTTGCGACCAAGAGTCCCTTTGTGTTTAGTCATGTAAACGTCTCATAGTGGGACCAATCTTTTGTGATATCAATTATACCAACTCCTCCCGACGTGTGGATGGTCCACGAGGCTATCATGTCGCAGCATGTCCCGTATTTCTGTCATGTTGTAGTGTGCCGCTTGTCAATCATATGGCGGCACAATAAGAGCATATGCGACTTGTCAGCTTGGCAATGGCCTCGCGTCCATGAAACTACCCCCTTGATAGGCATTCATTGCCAAGCTTGACAGGCTATTGCATCGCCGCTAGTTGCAGACCAGTTCTGCAAACCGTGCTCAAAGTACGCGTGGCGCATATACGCAGTTGCTCTCCAACTTCCCGAGTCGATCTGCACTGCAGCTCCTGTGCTCCGAGATGTGGCGAGAAGGGCGTGGGATATGCGTCTTTGTCTGAGTCATCCCACGTTGCCAGTGATAACCGTGTGCATCTCAAGTCATGCCATCGATGGCCCAAAATGTCATTTGCAGCCTTAACGACGTCCTACAAGTCTTGACCTTCGTCCTCCAGTACACGATAAATGAATGCAAGCAATGTTGCCAATGCAGGCCCGTCATCTTGCCGCGTTTAGCCGCCATCGACCTTCCCAGACTTGCCGTCACCATCGCCAGGCAGTTTTTGCAGTGCAAGCAGAGCAACTTCCTCCATATGAGCGGCAACATGTGCCTGCAAAGCTTCGCTCGAAAAGACTTCACTCGATTCGCTTTCTTGCGGGTGTTGAAAATCGTCACCAAACGGGCAGCACTCCAGCTTCTTGGCAAACACGCCTCGTCTTAGTGCTATTTCGCTGAGAGTCCCGATATGCCTTTCAGGCGCGCCGTGCTCCTTGATGACATGCTCCTGATACTCGATCTCCTGATCAAACAAGATGAGATTGTGTGAAGGGGCTCTGCACTCCCATAGTTGTCCGTGGACGTTTTGCATGTGGTTGATCCAGGCTTTTGCGTTTCGAATGTTTGCGGGCCGGTCCCGTCTTGACCGGCCTGCAGGCACGGTGGGAAAACGCAAATGAAAGGCGCTAGGTCTTCCATGACGTGATTGCTAAAGTCAAATTAGATGGTATACTATCACGAGAAGCATGGTCTGCTTACTGCCACTCCGTAGTTCCCTTGAACTCGATGATGACGCCGCAGTATGGACACTCGTTGTCCGGTGGTATTGGAGGGAACGACAAGGTATGGTTCACGATTGGGGATGCAACTCGGGGAACCTCGGCGGTGGGTTGGGCGGGTAAAGTTGTGACATCAGTTTGTTGAGCAGTAGTTGCATTCGTTACGAGCACTGGCGGAGGCCCAGCTGGTCCCGATGGGTTGTTGACGGTTGTGGGCTTTGGTGGCACGCTTGGGGCGCTCTCCTTTGTCTTGGCTAGGTGAAGAATAGTTGCGGTGGTTTGTAGATGTTCAACACGCAAGTCGATGCGCCTTGGATGGCGTCGTTGATAATACAGGCGTCCAAGTCGCATCGCATTGGCCGTGACCAATGCTGAGCGAAGCGAGTCCGGCGCCCCCGGAAATTGGCAATAAATGTAGCATTCCGTGGCGCGACGTAATTCGGCCATGGCCTTGTTTGCTTCTTCATCATATGCGTATATTGCCATTTTAAGCCCTCGGCCCTTTTTTGCTGACTCTCGAACAACATCGGATAATCTAACGAGCCGTCTTACTGTTCCGTCGATTATATGGGTAATTATTGAAATATTCCGCTCTGCTTGATCCATGTTACTGTCCGAGTCGCTTGTATCGTCGTTGACTCCCCTCGTGACTTGCGAATCGCCGTTTTCTGATATGCGTCTTCTTTTCCTTGCTGGAGCCTGTGGCGGGTCATCAACTGGCTTTACTGTTGTCGAGATTCTTATTAACATGGAATCCTCAACGTTCCGTCCATCCGAAACTGGCACGGCAGGCACTTACAGGATGTTAAGGCATCATAAATAACGTCCAGGAGCCGATGTATAATCTCCATGTTGTTAGGACTGAATCGGAGTTTGTAGTCCAACGAAATATTCGGCGGTCTATAAACATCCATCTCAGCTGCCCACGTTGTGAAGCTTACCAGCTGATTATCCATGATGCTAGGATCTGGCACGATTCCTGGCATCATCATGCATTTCAGGAAAAGAGAGCTGCACTGTGTTGCGCGCTCTGCGATGGTCGGGCAATCGCCGTCCGTCTTGGGAGAAGACATAGTTCGCGGCATCATGTTCCGCGCGATCCAGACTTTGCATGGCGGGAGAGTCTTGAGCGTCGTAGACAAGCAGATGGTGACCAAGGTCTACTTAAATACAAGACACGCAGTTGACCATCTGAAACCGGTGAGGGACGCACATCATCTTTTTGCACTGTCTTTTGGCGTTGAGCACTGGCCAACAGTGCCTCGATAATCTCTTTGTTGCACGTCTCGCGCCTCCTTTGTTATTGCATGGCCTCTTCTTTGCGGCATGTATGGGGCAATTCAGCCCTTGGACATTCTTGGCTTTGTTTCCACCTTGACATCTAAGCCAGGCTGACCTTTTTGCAGCAAGGCTTGTCATGTATACACACATGTAGTCGGGGCTGTCTTCCTACGGTACCCAGCCGAGCCTGTTTGGGCTGTACGTGGAAACTGTCCCTGTGACGCCAGCTTGTCTTGTATACATCTTTTCAGCTCGTAGCAATAGAAGCACACATACCACACCAAAAAGCTCTTGCAGGTCATCTAGCGTTTCGTAAGGGCGAGACGACGTTTGCGGGATCCCGCTGTTAAAGCTTCGAAGGGGACCCGTTCCGCGTTGATAGAGTACGTGATGTCGTCACACTTGACAAGCACATGCGCAACTGTGACAATAGACGTATCAGGGTAAGAGTCGGTTCGCTTTGATATGGTACTGGACGGCAGATGACCCCTTATTTATACAAAGCAGCGGTGAGCAAACGAGCCTGGGCCCACGGCCTCAATCAGGTCTCGAGCCCTTGTGTAACTATGGCCAGGTTCAAGGGACGGCCCGTGCCGACAATGTTACGCGGCCTCCATGTAAACATCAGCCATGGGCACGTCTTGGCCTTGTTTCCATCATTTCCTCTACCCCTCCTGTGCTTCATTTCCAGCGCACCCCAGACATCCGGGGAGAAGCATCATGTCAGGAGCAGAACTCAAACCTACGTCTTCTTCTGTGAAGCGAACCTGCAAAAATTACACTGGATATGTGTCGGCTTCAGGAGGTTCTTGGGGGAAATAAAAAACTAGACTGCTCTGACTCGGGATGAAGAAATGAGTGGTTTTGATTGGTACTAGGGTAGTTGGAACTACTCGGGGGACATTTGCTGTTGCGGCTGCGAATGATTCGATTGATGCCGTATGTATCGGGTCAATATGTATGTAGAGAAATTGCATGCTTCTCAAATGGACCGACACGAGTCCATGCTTATCGCTGTGTCTCGAAATCGGGTATTTGGCTTCAAAGTTGCCCATGGAAGCTGTTCGCTACTAGCAGAATGAATTTGACTGGCTTGTTGAAGTATAAAGTACACATCGCACGACACGGCTGTTTCGACAACTTGATCAAACGAGAGACTTGATTTTCTACGTAAAGAGCGGAATACTATAGAAAGCAAATACTCTTCGACACGCCGCTGCTTAGAGGCAGCAGGATGACAGTAACGGTGCCTTTGAATGAATGACTTGATCACGACAAGATCTTCCCGCTGGCCAGCCGCGGCCGCAGAGTCAAATTGTGAGCGGGGGCTGTCCAAAACATTGCCGCATCTGCTGCGAGCTCCCTAAAAATGGATGATGGGTATTCCCTCCTTCTTGAATTCTCCATCCCAGGTGAGCTTGAGATCGACGTCCAAGTAGAGTGTGCTATCCTTTATGTAGAACTTCAAAATCCCCCTTACAAGGAGCAAGTTTATATCAATAGTGATGCCCGTCTTCAGACTCCCCGTGAATGTTCCGAGAGGGATTCCGAGAACGGAGGCACTGAGCACCAATTCTTGCTCTGTGATATCAATATAGCCTTTTACCTATCATGTGTTGGCCCGTTGTTAGGTCATGACGGACAAGAGAAAGTTTGGTAGGGCTGCCATACTCCAACAGGTCCAATGGAAAAGTCAATCTCGACCTTGTTTTCGGATCGGTGGCCATGTCTTCCTGTCTGGAAGAAATGGTGGAGAGGCTCCTGTTGAACCGTGTAATGGCCCTTTGCGACGTTGCCGCCAATCTTGACGACGGTTCCTGGAATCCATGTTACAAACGGCACGGAGGCATATATGGAAAAAGACGGCAGAACAAACCGGAGTAGTAGGTGGGGGCGGCCATGATTGGGTCTGGTTCACGGTCTGGTTCACGGTCTGGTGCAAGGTCTGGGTAATTGATTGCAAGGAGGTTTGGGTTGATGTAGAAGCGTCGAGTTGAGTTGGGATTTTTAGAGACGTGGCGGGTAGAAAGCAAGCTTTTATAGAATCAAGCTCCTAGGCGTATCCAGGTCGGACTGTCTAGACCGCGAGATATGGCGTTGGATATCTCATGCCGACAGCCAATGGTCTTGCCTAATAGATATTTCCGTACCAAGTACAGAGTATTGCTGCATGTCTTGCTGCTGTCATGTGGCTTGTCATTTTCAGAAACATCTCATAACCCTGCAGCATGGGGAAACTACGACCTTATGTGACGATGGCTACTCATTATTTACATGTCATCCCCTTCTGTTCTCACATGCTGACCCTGGCTGGAGATGGGCTTTGCCCAACACGACATGCTTTGTTTCAAATGTACCGTTTCAAGCCTTGTATCACACTCTCAAGAAGTCAAGGTGATATTATGCAGTATGCAGTGCCGAGTTAGGAGGCTGCAGAAGCTCCGACTTGCAGTCGTGTGGCAAGGGCTTCAAATGAGGGCTTGTAAATAACTTCAATTTAATCGAATAGTAGTTTTTTTCTTGTTTAAAAGGTTCTTAAACGAGTCAATCCAGAACCTTAATAACCTAGAGCCCGTATATACACATGATAAACCAGGCGTGTGTAACCTAAGCTATTATGATTAAGGCATTTACCTCATAGCTGCCTTGGGCTTTCATCCTTGGAGGCTTGATATGACCTTGTGACTCGTTCATGGTCCGTAAGCATGCATCCTCTCTACCAATGCAGTCCGTCACGGATGCGTCATGCTTCCTTGACCGAATTCAGTCTCTGTGCTACCTTTCCGTACGACAAGTCGCCTGCAGCACCATATGATGCTGCCGTTGGGATACACGACAAGACCAAACTCGTTTACGACAGAAGAATGTGTGTTATTCCGGGGAGGAAGCAGACACTGTTGCCTCCAACAACGCTTTCCAACCGTCTTGTCATTTGTATTGTTTGTCTTATCAGCCTTCCGCCCAACTCGCCAATCGCTACACGCCTTGTCCGCGATGTAATCGAGTGTAACCACCACCCCTCATTCCTATTGACTTTAAGCTTGATTCAAACCCCGCCCGTACGGAGACAAGTCGTGCAGATGGATTAGTGTCTGGTGTCACAAAACATGGCCAAGCCAGAGGCCACTGTTGATCAGGCTTGATACCCTGTGATATACTTCGTACCATGCAACAATCAATTCTTGGCCTGCGGATCAGATAGCAACATGCCTCCAAGAGTGCTGTTTCCTGTTTCCAAGTTGGAAGATTTCTTTATATACGTCACTGCAGAGGCAGCCAAAAAGCCGACTGGTCTCGGACGAACCAGATAGTTCCAAGAGGCCCAAGCCGTTTACTCTGTGAACTCTGGTCCATGTCCTGGGTAAGTTGTTGCTACGTCGCGCCGCTGCATTGGCGTGACTCGACTGAGACGTGGATTACGTGCTCAGTTCAGCTTGGTCACGTCCAGCTGTATCTAATCAGAAATATGACGTGTAAATCCATACATCGCTTTCTGATTTGCAGAGAGAGTAGCGAGTCAGCAACAGTGCTCCATGACGTGTCAGCCTCCCAAACTGTCCTCTGGGCCAAGTCTTTGCGCAGACACGAGCAGAGGAAACTTGGATTCGGAGACGCAGTACATTCCAAAGCGTGTCGCGCGTCCAGAGAAACCCACTGTGCAACACACGACGTCGCATGCGAAGGTGGCTGGCGAATGCGTTGATCGCATATGCCTCGACAAGACGGTCAATTATCTACTCGCCTTGGGCTGCTTAACTACTGGCTGCTGAATGGCTGGTGGTGCAGGCCGTCCGGGCGTCGTCTCCGAAATGATGCCAGTTGATAAGAAAGAGTTGACTTTATTTCTGAAAGTGCCCAACTTGAATTACATATGTAGCTTGTCGATGGCACGCAATCTTGTGAGGCCTGTGCCGTCCTTGTAGTATTCTGATGAATCCCCCCCTTTCTCATAGAACTCCTGCATCTTGTCTGCTTCCCCTGGAGGTGACCTAGTACATATGTAGTTTCCGTGCGTCGTTGGGCTGGTCCTGACGGATGTTCGCTAGAGAACCATGTCCCTTAAGGAAGCCGTTGTTTCCGTTCGGCGTCTAATTTCCCGTCACTAACAGGATCCTCGGTTCCGTAAAAGTCTCCTGTCAACGCAGAAATTTCTCCACGTCCAAGACTCAAGGCATCACCGCCCTCGCCAAGTTTGATGGGAACAATGTTAGCCGCTTTCTTTGCCACTTCAATCCTGTCAGGCGTAGGGTCTGTCACGCTCTTGGGGTTCCTATACTTGAGAGAAATATGATTTCCCAGAAACTGGTGCTCCGCGTACTCGTACCCTATTTTGCACGATGTCATCAGCCCCAATTCCTGCCTACTCTGCTCTTCCATCTATGCAGGGACGACTTTACCTGGAGGCGGCGGTTCTTTCCTTGCTAATAGTGTCTGGTTTGTTTCTCGCCTTGCACTAAAGTACGGGACAGTTCCGTCCCCGCCAGAGTTGCACCTAGGACTTTGCCTCTGTCAAGTCAAAACACGGCATTCCACTCCGTGACTCCCTCGTATACTGTTCTGTATCCTGCGAGTCCATCATAGGTAGCGCGACGTGCCAAAGAAAATGTCTAGCAAGCAAAGGGCATGGCAAAGGGGAAAGAATGAATCATAGACCTCAAGTGCGTCTAGGTGTCAAGTACTTGACGGTTAAGCTGATCAGTGATCGGTATACATGTAGGCGGTGGTGCCCGAGCTGCAGAATTGCTCGTCTACAAATGGGTACCAAATGCCACTCATATAGCGGATGTGACGTGCACTGAACCAGACGTCCTGACGAGCCCAAATTACCCACCGCATGACCAACCCTCTTCCTGAGGGATTGTTGACTTTTGCCGCCTTTTGAGCTCCGTCGGGCCTGAGGCGGGTGAGCTTCAGCAAGATGGTGAGACATGGATGAAATAAGAAGAGACAAAATCAGTGTGAGCGATGCTGGGTTGACCACGCGTCTCCTCAAAGTTACGCTGTGGGATCAATGCGTGATTGGGAGGACAGCTGACTTGTATTTTTTTTTATGTTTCCCCAGGACCACGCAATCCTCGTGTCCTCATCTGCCTCATTTGCGGCATGTTCCAACTGTGAAGAATGCATGCGGTTGACTGGTACAAGGGGGGTGGTTAGTGTTTGGCTAGTCTGGCAATGTCTCAGACCGTTGTGACGTCCGGTCTTGTTGACCGTGAGTATCTCGCCGTCGAGAGGTCCGTCGCGAGAATATCCTCAAGGTGCCGGCGGTTGTCGGAGAGCTCAACGTGAGGAGCGGATTTTGCTATCAGTGGCCCTCATGTCCTGTCAGTGGTGGGCTACTATAAGACCTCATCTCGGTCTACCTTTATACCGCTGTACCGGGGTTTGGTTCTATTCCACGGCAAGACTCACTATAGTTGTTATCATCTATAAGTGTCTAGGTCACCCGTGTAGTGATTCCAATATTGGCCCTTATGAACAGCTACCTAATATTATTTATAATTTATATATCTTAGGCTATAAGGGGTTAGGACAAATCATAAGGATTGTAATAAAAACTTCAACTTACTAAGAAATATTACAAAAGCCTTAGGTACTTGAAGGTTCCACTCTCTTACCATAAAATTATGCCTGTTATATTGGTTATTAGCCTCCCTGTCCGATCACGCATGAAGAATAATGTCAGGGGTGGACTGTACTCGTCTTGCAAGATAATTTAGGCCTCTTTTTTGTTAACTTGATAAACTTTATTTATTTTCTTATCAGGCCACTTGTGGCCATGGAGTAGAATTCATGGCTTGTGTCCAACTTGTGGTTCGACATCCTTGTACGGCGTCACTTCCTACCTCCACATGGCTGGTGACGTCTCCAAATATAGGTGGCAAAAGTGGGTTGTCGGGGATGTACTCCGTATATTATAAACATACGATTACTTTGTATTGTTATGCCCAGATGCTCTCCAATACGGTTAATTACCATGACCAAGACGGTGGGAATCGATTCATGCATGGAAGTCTTGGCTAAGTCCGGAGTAGCCGAGTCGGTCAAAACAGCGTCGATGTGGAAAATGGACAACGAATGCTCTCAGGCAAAGGATCCTGGAAAACAATCCATGCCAGCTTGCGGCGGATTTCTCTTCATGTAGCAATATGGTGTGGAAGCATTCTACACTTTGCACACAGGTTGAGCGAGCAAGAACAAAGATATAAAAGTCCATGACATACCACATGCCGTATTGCTTCAGCCTCCATCACGGATACACTCTGCTTTCCATTACACGCCTTGTACCACAGATCTCTCTACGCTATTTCTTAACTCAAACGATAGTGCAGCTTTCACTTGTATTGGCTCTGCTCCCCTGCCTTTCTCTTGCTGGGCCACTAAGAGCACGACAGGATGCTCCCAAGAAGCCGTTCAAGCTGCACGGCAATGTCTATAAAGATTGTGGCTGGCCTTGGAGAACCGAATTATCGAACACGTCTGGAGTCTGCGTTGGCACACTCAAGTACTGCCACGAGCAGTTCTTTAAGCTGCATAATGAGAATTTTAGCAGCGAGGAGGACTGCCTTTAATCTCGGGGTCCAGCTCCGGATCCCTCTAAAAAGCGGCGGATATAGCCCGGGGATTTCCATAATCGTTATAATAGGAAGGGGCTTCAACGGGTAGAGGAAAAACGGTTAAAGTCCGAGCGCTGCGTTGGCACGCTCAAGTACTGCCAGAATATGTTCTTCAAGCTGCACAATGAGAGTTTTAACAGCGCGAAGGAGTGCCTTGAATCCCGAAACCCACCACCCTCGTTGGTCAGGCCGGCTGAGCTTGACGCCCTTCTTTCCTCCCCCGAGGCACCCGCGACGCCTTACGTCTCTGCCGACACAGCTTAAGGCCGCATAGCGAAACGAAACTTGCCACTACATCACATACAAAGGCAGAGTTGAGATGGAGATAGCTGGGTCATCATGTCAATGTCGCTGGGGAAACGACTGTGCTTAGCCTGCCCGGGACGTGTAGGAGATAGAGGCATGCTACAGATTCTAAATAAAATTGTTTGTATCCCGCCAGTAACTTATCGGCAAGCACTTTGCGGTTCTAACGTGACGTGACAGATACACAGACTCGAGGAGATTCTATACGACTAGGCACTACTGCAGGCGTATCCAAGTACTGGCAGATCTTGGGTGTTTAAAAGCACACCGCTACGCGTTAGTTGCCCGTTGTAGACAGATATTCAAACGATCGTGCCTTGTGACACAGGCTGGGTCAGCTGTCAGAATGTTGTCAATACGTAGGTGGCTGAGGAGGTCGAAATTGCACAACATCCGTAACACCGTATTGGCAGCACAGTGGCTCAGAGGGTCTTGGTCCTTGCAAGCTCGTTTAAAGATAGATTCAAATATATAAGAGCCAACACGAGAATTTATTCAACAAGCGGCCGCCTTTGTGTTGACTACATAAATGGCAAACAGAATGAGCAAGCTCTCGGCGAGACAGCGACTTCCGCATTCAAGATTCCCAGTGGCAACTGAAGCGAAATCAATCTAAATACACGAACATGATCCAATTCCATGGCTAACAGTCCGGCCTAGAAGAATGGAGGCCACGCACACCGGGTATAGCCCGCGATACTAAGGACCAACGTATACCTCGACAGTGTTGCCACTGAAAGTTTGGTCTGCAATGTTGAGCAGAGCAGCACAGTTTCTAGCAAAGTTGTTATGAACTGTAATGGTAATATCACCTTGAGCGGTGATTCTGACCCTCTCAGCGTTGAGGTTGGCGCTTCCTCCATCAGCAGTGGCCTGGGTGTTGTGTCGAATGCTCCCATGAACCGAGTGCAGCTGCGAGTGGGCAAGATTGGCCACGACCCCATAGCTGACCGGGCCTAAATCGCAGCCGTTTCTTTTAAACTGTCCATCAACTTTGACATAGCAACGCGCAGAGCAAGCGCGTGCTGTTAGCTCTCCTGCCGGTACCAGACCGGAAGCAACTTCGCTGGCGTCATCGGGAATGGCGAGTGCAGAAGTGCCGGAACCGAAATTATAGGCGAGCAAGACTGCTAGAGCCGTTTGTGGGAGGTTGAACATCATATTGGCCTGTTGAATAATGTAAGTTAGTTTTCAACATTGTTAGACACGCCAAGCAACGTCAAATATAGCAAGTGCACGCATGGCTTGATAGTGCCGGATTAGGGCTGTGATAATTACATGTGGTGAAATGTGGAAGAGGAGGGAAAACGTTGGAAACGCACTGTGAGCGTATTGAATACCTGCAGAATAGGTAAACCAGGTCTAAGTCGTGCTCTTTATTTCAGAGTCGTGGAATGGACTGCAGTTATATGCAAAGAATGGAAAATGAAGTGACCCGATGGTATGTCTCGTAATATATATTTTTTTTCTCTAGTAAGATGGAGGTTCCCACTTGCCTGTGAAGCTGATGCCACACGGCAGTAATAGTCTAAAGTCTGACACGAGTTTACATACAATACCTCTACCAGACTCGAATTTTGGACCCAAGATGTCTTGGATATCGAATATCAAGATACCCATGCAGTTTCATCACTGGCCGGTAGCATTTCATCTATATCCCACCTATCATCCGTGTCGTGCGGCTGCCGTCGTGTGAGATTTTAGTACGGCGTTCAAATCTGACTACATGGGGAGAATATCCTCTGGTTACTACTCATGCCGATTGGCGGAATTATTCAGCCTCATTATAGGCACTTCGGGACGGCAGCGTTCCACTTAATGCACAAAAAGACTAATACGGGTATGTGGAAGCACGATGTGTGTGACCTGTCACATTATACTCCGTACCGTGCACAGTACGTGAACGAGAAATTCGTTTATGCATAATATACTTGTTCCTGCGCTGAGGTATAATACATGAAATGATAGGAGGGAGTTATTAAACCGCCGAGCTGAGACAGCTCCATAGTCAATGTACAAAATAGACGGATTTGGTGTGTGTCGGTGTGAACCAACTCAGCCCCGAATCACACCCTGGCCTTGCTCGCCTAGAGGTAATGGCGACTTATGTGAGAAAATATGATAACACAGTATCTTGCACACCGAACATGGCGCAATAGTTCTAGATGAATTTCGTTTAGTTATAGGAACGGTATTACTAGGAGAAGTGTCATGTAAAGTGACGGCCTCTCCATTATATAGTGACTAAATAATGAGATATCGGCGGCAGATAGTTCCCGGTTAAAGTGATTGAGCCTTTTTGCTATTCTAAACATCGTATAATAAAAATGGCTGGCCTTTTCTTTCTGCCAGTTTACGCATGTTCTCACAAGGGATGTGTTGGGGCTGCAGAAATAAGAGGAGCCAACAGAGCACACTTTTGAGTCTCTTCTCAGCTGGCGGTCGGGCGGGTTT